TCATGGACAAGCCGCCTATTGTTGTTCCGTGGTAAGAGCCTTCTCTCGCAATGAAGTTGATCCGTTTGTTCTCCTGTGGACTTATTTCGGTGAAATACTGCCGCGCCATCTTCATCGCAGAGTCCATCGCCTCGGATCCTATCATTGACACGTTTACTGTTAAGGCATGATGAATTCACGAATAAAATCAGTATCAGATACTCACCTGAGCACATAATGTAGGCCTTGGCCATAGCTCCTTCAGTGCCCCGGATCAATTCTGCGCACAGCTGCTCGCCTATTGGATGCCCAAAGAACATGGAATTGCAATACGAAAACTTGTCAATTTGCTCAATCATGGCCTTCTTCACCCGGTCATTGTGGCTGCCTATACATGCCACGGCAGCTCCGCAGGTCGAGTCAAGTATCTCATGGCCATCGGAAAAGGTAAGATGTCTCTCTCTAGCAGACACAACCATCATCGGCGAGGTTTTAAGGGACCGGTGCAAAACGGCACTATCTTGTTCTGCCGTCGAACGAGCGGTTGCTGCAATGGATGCAAATGTTCGTTGCTGGTGAGGCATCATGAATGTTGGACTAAGCGAGATAGAATGCGATATCTTGGTACCCGAGGTAGCCCTGAAGGGCCCTAGAGCTACCTTTCGGGCAATCATCTTGGCCTGGAGGAATCGGTCTCTGAACTGACGCAGGTGATGTGATACTGATCGCGACTTTGTCGCTTGTTCCAGCGAGACGGCAAGATGCAGCGATCCGATAATGCCACGCTTGTGATCGGGGGAACTCAGATATTATCTTGTCAATCCGGAGATGACTCGTTGGGATAGTCGTAGCTCAGGCGCCTGAAGATTAGAGATAGATATTCCACGATCGGCGAATGTCTTGAGCGTGTTGGGCGTATCTCGGGCGCCTGACCATGATACCCCGCCATCTCTCTTCCACACACCCAATTGTTTACGAGAAAGCCTGCATTCCTCAGATAATGCCACGCCAAGTCGAGCTAGCATTGGCTCCTCCCGCCTCTAACTTGCATACAACTGCGGGGTGGTGGCTGGGCATCGAGATAAGGGGCCGGCTAGCATCGGATGCTCTGCCCCGATCTCGGTGCCTATTCTCGTGTGATGTATCTCCAAATCCTGCTTTGTCAAAGTTTCATCATTTCGATCCAGTGCCAGACAAGGGCCTATCTCTTCCTCTTTAAGCTGGGCCACTCCCACGTCTACCTCAGTGTCTTCTTCTCGATACCCTACTATGGGCTATCCCCCGAATTTTCATTACAATATATTAACGGCTATGTCTGCTTCATAGCCTTCTGCTTCCTCGCACTTTTCGGCCCAGTATGCCAACTCCGCCTCGGGTCAGCAGACGTGGACTGTTGAACTTTCTACAGGGTTAATCAGTATATTTACTGGAAGTTATTTGGTTTCAATGGGCCAGAAAAGAATGAATAGCTGCACTACAGTCGTCCAAACTAGTCCAAACTACAATATCTTGCGATCCAAAGAATTATGATCTGTCCTATAAGTGTAACGGGCAGTGATTAGCCGCAGCACTCAACGCACCAGCCAGCCTGTCGCCTCGAATGATTAGTGACAAAAATGACAGTGGGCATATCGGCAGAAGTTGTGAGTCTGATGAAGGTTTAGGATGTATGTTAGAGTTCACACAAACCTTTAGAATTCTCCCTTGGGCACATCTAAAATTTATGGAACTCCACACGTACTCGACGCTCCCTCCGCACCAACACTTCGTCGACTTCACTCCCTTCTGGGACTAGAGGCACCTCAGCTTCCCCAGGATCTCATCTCGCAGGAGTGTTCCGATCCGCCGCGATCTTTAAGCCATGAGTTGGTATTTGCGTAGTCATTCTAACCCTGTTTTAGGTCCGATCCTGACTTGCAGAACAAGGGTAGGCATTTAAGACATTGTAGGAGCAAAAGCCCATTTGGCGATCAGGTTTCTAACTGGTTGTTCCATGAGTAGCTCTGGGGCCTTCAATGGCTACGTCCGGTCCCAAGATAGTGGTTCGTGCCCCGTTGCGTTGATTTTGACGATGCCTCGCCAAGGGTGTTCTCTTCTTGAAGACTCACAATCATTCCTTTCGTAGATACAGCAGTAGCAATTTCTGAGGCCTTTCTTAAGTCTTGGGTTTCATTATTTGTCGCATGAATATCTATTCCGAGCAACATTTCTCAAACGAGTTGACCAGATTTCGCAAGGGAAAGATGGACCTATGCATGTATAAGCAATCAGGCAATATCACAAGAGGTTACCCTCTTTCTGAATAACCCGATTCTTTATATTTGAGACCATTATCATTCAAATATCACCATGCCTCAGAACTCACACATCAGAGTCCCCATGCCACCCTTTCATCCTCACCCTGCCTCCAGCGTGCAGATTTAGTTGGTTCCACTCGGTTACGCCAACCCGAAACAGGGAATGATGGTGAGAGCCACCAGCGGTCAAGTCTTAATGCAGGAGACCATGCCTATCCGATCCTACCCTTAATAGGCCATCCGATTAGACATTCTCTGCCGCTGTGGTAGCTTTGGGTACATCCTTTGTCGGGATCGCCTTCCGATGCCAATGAGTACCGACCATGCCATATCAGCTGATTCCCATGGATAACTCCCTGTTCGGATACACCTTTTAAGCTTTCTCTCTCCTCGCTACCAAATGCCCCATAGAGGCCACTCAGCGGTGTGTCTACCCCAAATCCCGTCTTGGTAATATTGATGAGCACCATGAGAGCCATCCTCCGCCTCATACCCGGAATCGGGGCCGCGAATGTCGGAGCATGGCCATTATTTAGAGTAGATCAATCAACATTTGTTTCCCCTTCCTTGATTGCCCTTCCATGCCGCGTTCTCTCCGCCCATTATCTCTCGTCATTTTCCAGTGAACTACGGCAGCATGTTGGACCTTATCGTCATCGGAGCCGGCTTCAGTGGTCTGCAGGCCGCCTACTCGGCCCAGCAAGCCGGCCTGTCAGTCGTCGTCGTCGAAGCTCGTGATCGTGTCGGCGGCAAGTCATGGAGCGTGCCATTGGCCTCGAACCGAGGAACCGCTGATCTCGGTGCCGCCTGGGTCAATCCTTCCAAGCAGCCTCGCATCTGGAGCTACGCCAAGCAATTCGGCATGGACAAGAACAACACGGTCCAACGGCTCACTGGTAAGGCTGTCATGAACGTAAAGCCCGGCGAGAGGATTGTGTACCCATTTGGTATCACTCCAGAGGTAAGTAATCGATGCATTGCTTATTCAGGCTTTCCTATTCAACCATGTCGTTGCTGACATGTACGCCGTCAAGTTCGCACCCGAGGTCAAGAAGAATCTCGAGTACATCCGTGACCATGTTCAGGCAGAGTCCCTCAAGCCCGGGCCTCCCAGAGTCGAGGACGACAATGTGTCCATGGACCAATATGTTCGCGCACTCGGCGCTCTGCCCGAGACTTGCAAGATGGTCAATGTATGGACCAAGGCCATGCACGGCGTAGAGTCTCATGAAGAGTCTGCCGCGTATTTCATCGATTATTGCCGCAAAAACACTGGCCTCTTGTCCGTTCGGGGAGATGATGATCAAGGCGGCAATTATATGCGACTCCACGCAGGTACTCAGAGCATCGCCAAGGGCATCGCGCGACTGATTGGCGCCCACAACATCCTACTCAGCAACCCCGTCGCTTCAATAGAGAACCTGGACAGCCACGTAAACGTGTACACCACTACCGGGAAGACTCTCCGCGCACGTAAATGCATAATCTCTCTCCCCAGCACCATGTGGAAGGAGCTCACTTTCAACCCACCCCTACCTCAGGAGCTCAAGACCATCTCCGACAACACGAGGCTGGGAAACTATAACAAAGTCATAGTCGCTTGGGACAAACCCTGGTGGAGGGATCTCGGATTCAACGGATTCTTTATGAGTTTCGAGGGAGGCCCTGTGGCGCTTGGCCGCGACACGAGCGTTGAGGAGAAAAACCTATATGCCTTCACACTTTTCGTCCAAGGCGACGCAGGATATGAGTGGTCTCAGAAGCCTGCCCACGAGAGACGAGCTATTATCCTTGACCAGCTTGCTTCAATCTTTGATGTAGGGTATGATTCCGAGCTCTACAAGCCAATTGAGATATTCGAGATGGTCTGGAAAGGGGAGACTTTCAGTCGAGGAGCTTTGGTCCCCATCACAAAAATTGGCGACTTCACCAAGTACGCTTCAGTGTATGGTAAGCCCACTGGCAACCTGCATTTTGTTGGCACAGAGTTTGCTCCTGTCTGGAAGGGTTACCTAGAAGGAGCTTTGGCGTCAGGTGAAGTCGGCGCCAAAGAAGTTGCGGAGGCTATCAGCAGCAGTCCTATCGCCAAGCTGTAAATCACTGCACTATTTGACTTTATAATGGCATACGAGGACGAGGGTACGTTGGGGTTAAGACTTTCAGTTCCTGTGATGGGAATTTCGGGCTAATAGCTGCTTGGGTCTTTGGTTTTTTTTTCAGCATAGCAGTTTGCATTTGAAACACGGATGGAAAGATAACATGTTGTTAGTCGTACGCATTTGTTTGAAAATAAACATCGAGACAACAAAACGACATTTACATTTGGTGTCTCTCTATGAAAGTGACCATTGTGGTGCAATCTCTAGCTCATGGATCATGTTCTTCCACAGCTCGCCCTCCATCCCAGGGCGTGCAGCCGGGTCCAATTCCTGGAACCATCGACGGACAGCCTCGTAATCTCTTCTACTACGATCCCGAGACCACCAAAGCCCCTTAAAGCGACACATGAGTCCGCACCAGTATCCGTACAGCCATGTGGCCTTCTCGTTCTGTTGATGAAGCAATTCCCGAAAGTGCGGGTGCGCTTTGGCCAAGAACGCAAAATGATGGAACGAGTTGGTTGGCAAGGGTTCAACCTGACGAAGGAAAGCCACCAACATCATCGGAGCTCCCAGAACCTCACTCATGGGCAGATGAGAGACCATACCTGCAGAGTCCCCAGAGCTACTCCCGGGGGCGCACGTTCTGGGCGAAACAGCGGCAGTGCCCAAATCGAAGAAATTGATCCAAACCTCGGGGACGCCTTTCAATCCTTGGGACATGGCTACATGACGGCTTTCGTTTACCCCCAAGAAGATGGGCCCAAGGACTTCCATAGCTCCCTGAAGGCGGTGTCCACCAGATTTGAGGAGTGGTCTGAGGCCAGATTGCAGAGCTAGCCAGCCCAGCGCCTCTGTTGAAATGTTTACCCAACAATCCCCTGGTCGGCTTCTATCCGTCTTATAAGGGGCCCTTGGGGGCAATGGAAAGCAGAGAATATTCAGCAGCATTCCCCCCAAAACCAGCTCATTAAAATCTGCTGCGCTCATTTTTGAAACGGGCACAGTAAGTCTGCTGAGATACTCCTGCACTGCCAACGACTCGTAGAAATGTTCGGCGATTTGGTGACGCAGATTGTCTCCAGAAAGGTGTCGAAGATGGCATGCTGTGATGCCGATAACGATATTGCGAATCAGATGGCTGGATTGAAACATGAATTTGAAAACATCAGTGAACTCCACGTGCAGGATATCTCCCCAGCGGCTCTCACAGTACTGCATGAGTTCCAACATCGGAGTGCCATTCTTGGCGTTCAGTAGAGGAAATGGAGAGGGCGTATTTAAGCTAAAAAGAGACAGAGAGAAGCCGATTGTAGGAACTCCAATTCCTGCTCTGGATCTCGCAATCAGTTGGTTTGACGAAGCAATTTCGCCTTCGCTGTAGTGGCACTGTCGTCCATTTCTCACGCACCGGGCACAAGCCGGTCTCTTCTCATCACACTTGACGGAGATCAGTCTCATAAACCGCGGAAAAGATCGGTGACAAGTTGGCCAACCTTTACTTTCTTAGACTTGCAGGAGGAGCAGCCAGACTTGGTTTTGGGGAATACTTTGCGCTTCCGATAACCGGGAATACGGGCATCCCAGTCCGTCGCGAGCACGACATGAAACTGGTCCGCCATACTTGCTGTCAATCGTAAGCTTGCAAAAACCAAGCGTAGCTAAAACAAGTAACCGAGCACAGAGAAAGTCGCGTCTTTATGCTTTTGTTACGTCCGTCATCTCCGCGGCCTGATGACGGATGACGGCTGCAAGGGGCGAGTGGAAACACAGCTCGGTTACTTGTTTCAGATTAGCCTCTCTCCAGCTCGGTTACTCTTCCTGGCCTAGTCTCAATGATGGGCGAAGGCGTTTGGGTGTATCTACAGAAGAAAACGAATATAAAAGGGGATGTATATCCTTTTGAAGTGATTTGATTTCTTCAGTCACACTTCAATAGCAACCTTGTATCTCTACTCATCCTCTTTCACTCTAAATATGCCCAGCTCGTGCAAAAACACCACGAAACATGATGCCAAACCGCTCAAGGCATCCAAGGACATGGAGCCCTGGGAGAAATTCTGGGGCCCAGTCTTCTATCAGAATCAGTTCAAAACCACGCTCGAAGTGCCCTCCAAAAGTTCATGGCCTGGTGTGACTGGAAAGTGCGCCATCGTCACAGGTTCAAACTCAGGACTAGGCTTGGAGTCTTCAAAGCAGCTCCTCTCCCTCGGATTGTCACATCTGGTGATGGCTGTACGGTCGATTGAACGGGGCCGAGCTGCCGCCGCCAACCTTGTTGAGCAGAATCCCTCGGCCAAAATCGATGTTTGGCAGCTCGACATGGAGTCATACGATTCTATTCAGGCCTTTGTTCGGAAATGCCAACAGGAGCTCTCGCGCATCGATTATGTGATTCTGAACGCCGGAGCTTCACCTGTCCGCTTCGCCAAAGTCCCCGCCACGGGCCATGAGAGAACCATCCAGCTTAACCACATCAGCACAGCTCTCTTGGCTGTCCTTCTTCTTCCTGTGCTGAAGAGCAAGACCGCAGGCCCTGATCCGCCTGTTATGACCGCTGTTAGCTCAGTCATGGCTCACTTGACGAGTTTCACAAACAGGGACCAACGGCCGCTTCTACCATCCTTTGACGACACATCCATCACGCCTTTTAGCCCCCCCGACAGGTATGGCGTGTCGAAGCTACTTTGCCAGATGTTCTTCGTGAAACTCGCTGAAAAGGTAGACCGTAACACTGTCACCATCAATCTCGTGGAACCGGGCCTCATCAAGGGAACTGGCCTGTCGCGCGAAGCAACAGGGTTAGCTGGGGTCTTCTCCAACATCTTCCACGGGATTGCCGGTAGGCCTCTGGAACAGGGCGCCGCAACATATCTCGATGCAATACTCAGGCATGGCAAGGAATCCCATGGCTCTTATATCATGAATTTCAAATTTGCGCCGTAAGTTCATCATTATCTTCAAACCCAGAAGTCATTACATCATCTAACTTGCCTTCTTATCAGGCTAGCTAAATGGTATTATTCGGATGGAAAAGCTTTGACGGATGTCATCTGGACCGAAACACTTCAGGAGCTTCCTTCAGTCAATCTCAATGATATCATCGCCTCTCTTTAACCTCCTCTTTTGTCTGAGCAAATACCCGGATCCTGGTTTAGTCTGTCGAAGAAGAAATATCAGGCTAGGGCTCAGAATTTATGAGAGAATTTAGGGAGTTTTCTCTCAGCAAACATTCGTCGTCAGTCTAGTTAGTCCACAATTTGTCATTGGTGCCTGATGTATCACGATGCAACAGCCTCGGGTAATAATATACATGCTCTTTTCTCTCTATCATGTCTAACTGAATCCAATGCAATCATAAATTACAATCAACAAAAAGAAAACAATACCTGCAGTATGATAGCCCAAGAGGCCAACCCCAGAGTAGTGATTTCTAAACGCCTAGCCTCCTTGCACTTCAGTAATTTCGTCGAATTCACTCGGTCCAAACAGTGATCAGCATAGGGGGGGGAGGATGGAGATGAGCGCATGGTTATCCTAGCAGACAATGTTGCCTCATCCAGTTTACTTTTGACGCTCAGCATGTTAACTAACAGTGATTGCGTCGTCTAAATAATAAACCTGGCCCTGTCCATCGCGCATGATGAACATCAATGGATATAACGAATGAGACTCCCCGTTGTCGAAATTCGGTTTGTAGTCTTGGATAATGTGACAAACCCTGGCTTCCTTCTGGGGCCACTCGTTCCATCTACCCATCTCCATCGGTGTCTCAAGCCCATACCAGGCTATATCGTGCTCGATTTCTATGACGCGCTTGCATATCGAGCACATCTTGTCTGTCTCCCAAAGCCCTTGCCGCGTGGAACCGTATTGCCTAAGCAATGAGTAGGCTTGAAGTCTGGTGGGAAGATGACGGCATTTAAGAATGACAGCTAGTATATTCGTGAGGTATCCCGTCTCGAGCTGGAACACGGGCCGGTCTGGGGAGCCACCATTGCGCCGAATCATGGATGTACCAATCTCTTCCATGTGTGCAACTATGTGCCGATAGGATGGGAGAAGCTGGTCAAATCTCATTTCGGAGGTCTCGAATGCCGTCAACAACCCGATTTGGCACAGGTCCAGAGTTACGAGACTGCCGAGATACATTAATCTGTGATCGTCGGATTGTGGACAATAAGTTCCCAACGGAACAACCTTGTCTCGAAATCTCTGGGTCACGCATTGAAGCTCGTGTTGTTTTGCGGTCAGGTCTGCGCGAACTGGCTGATGTCGCAGTCGTCCGTGACGATACTCTGCTCCATCAGCTACGAGTTGGAATATCTGAAGATACAGTTCATCGGTCATAACTCTTGCATCCTCCAGGGTTGAAAAGTCTGCATCGACATGGAGTGGTCGAGCTAGTGCATCTACCTCGTCTCGACGACCAAACTTCAGGAGCAGGATCGACTGTCGCTGGTAAAGCGGCAGCAGTGTGTCTCGCACCCACGGACGGAGTCCTGGTGTTGCTCGTATGATGCGGAGCCCGGCTTCGAGGTGGCCCAGAGCCTTGCTTTCGCTCCCTTGCATCAGCTCGATGCATATAAACAACAAACATGCTAACAGGATCAGATGGGCGTCCGTGAGGTCTTTGAGCTCATGTATGGCTGCATTGTAGTGCCGAAGTGCTGTCATATTGTGCCGTAGTTGAGGCATCAGCCTACCATTACCTATGAAGTCTTCATACAACAAACTCATTGCGACAACGCTGCGCCGGATGGCTGGCTCATGAGTCCCAATCTGCAGGATGGTGTGAGTCCAGAAAGAGGACGGGTATGGGCCGGACAGCCAGGGCGCGACGCCGAGCTGGAAGAAATGCAGAGCACGAGCCTCCTCAGTGTGACAAGAGCCCCGGCTAGGAGATGGCACAGTCGCCGGCGTTGATACTTTGTACGTTTTCCATTGGAATACAGGAGAGAAGCCGTCACATTTCCGTCCTGTGCTGGTGCAGCGCTCGCACTCAGGTCGAGCCTCATCACACTGGTATGCCCAGAGTTAGATGGTGCCTGCATGAAAGTATCTTATGTGCGTACCTTGATTTTCCTTATCCTGGATATACATTAGCACGATCAGTACCGTATTTCACCATAAGCGTAAGCATACTTGCATGTGTGGCACCCCGTGCGAAGCCTCTTGATACCTCCTCGGGGCATGCTACAATCATGTGGAAGCCCGGATGACAGGATCCCGGGCGTCTCGATGCAGGCCAACTTATGAATTGCTTTGATATAACCAAGAAAGTGGCAAGGAATCTATTCCTAACTTCTGTGTCTCAAGGTTTAAATCCTGCTCATGTTGCTCATATTGCGTGACGGGAAAGGAAGAACGACTGCTTGTGGCCAGGGATTTGTAAACATGCCAAGTGGATCAACACGCTAAACTGGAGACAGAACCGCCAATTATTAATCATCAGTGATTGCCCAAGCGCTGCCATTGAAACATTCAGTGACGGCCAACTTCCTCAACTAGCCAATTTGCACTCGAACTTTTATCACGGCTAGAAATTAGCTTATGAGTCTACTCATATCCCACACCATCTATATGCCAGCTTTTGTTTAACCACAGTGAGTTGAAATTAGAATAAATTGTGTAATTAATTGAAATGTTGGCATGGCGTTGGCATCATCAGACATCGGGATTTTCATATGCAGAGCCGGAGACGTGATCAAACAACCTGCTACTTCAGTCCATCGAGTACATCAAAATCATCAATCGAACGAGCATCAAATAGTTCCTACAGTTAGTTATATATAACTTAGATAAACAGGTATTCAAGGTCAATTTCCAATACAGACTATGTTGCTATTCTTGGTAAGCTCTATAGGGTAGTGAGTACCTCCTCGCAGAGTTCGCATACGCAAATCTCTCAGATCTCTTTGTTAAGAAGTACTAGCCATGTGTGGGCGTATGACTCTGAAACTATGGCTCGATCTATAGCGGTTATAGCACAGATTTGGAGGTATCTTTCCGGGGTGAAGCCACACAGAAAAGTTAACTTGCTATTGATTCCCCCAAGTCTACTCTTGGCACCTTGATTATGATACACTGTGATTCGCGATAAAACTCAAAGGAATTCCATACCCCAGTGTCGCGTAAAAGTCCAATGCTAGGCGATATTACACTCCTACTCGACCCGCTGATTCCATGGATGCTGCGGGCTCATTGGGATGGAATCTGGGTCATAATCCTCTGTTGTGACTCCCACATGCGTAGTCCGTAGGATCGCGGTATCTGATAAATCGGCATCGAAGGGGGCGCCGCCGTGATCCGGGTATCTGCTCCCGGGATGAAGCTCCAAAGGCTTCTGGGAATCCGAAGACTGAGGTTTTACCGTGCACGACCCAGAGATCTCGTTGTAACGGTTGGAAATCCTGGAGTCTTGGTTGCTAATCTTTGTATTCGATCGCTTCGTGGTCGTGAGCCGCGACCATGACTTGGTGATGGCAACCAGATTCTGTATGCCCATCTCATGGAGAGCCAACGGAATGGCAGGCGTGCAGAGAACGATGAGGCCGCATGTAGTCTCTACTACGACCCAGATCCCGACGGTGCAGAATGAGTAGGTGAGATCCTCGGCCTTGGAATAACTGATGGTGACTGCAAGTCGGAAACCCGCGGCAAAACAGGCCCTTTTAGGCACGCATGGAGTTAGCAAGGAGAACCAAGACTGTCTTTGGCAGAGTGTGACGACGACTTACATAAAACCGACGACAAATACAGCAGACACGCCTAGGCGTTTCTGAAAGGACATGCGAAGGCCCCAGATCACTCTTTGAGGGAGAATGAGAATGGCGAGGTCAATCAGGAAATTGATGACAGATGATGCAATGTCGATGGCGCGGCTGTCAGAACAGGTTCCTTCTACAAGAGGGTCGTAGAGCTTTGCGTGGGGTTTGCAGGTTAGGTTGATGGCGATGATGGCTGCGGAATAGAACAGCAAGTCCACGCTGATGAGAAAGATCGAGATCCACCAGAAGTAATTGCGTGTACCGACGGGGACAAATATGTGCAGCCAGTCGACCAAGATAGTGGCCTTGATGAGCATGATCGTCGCCGCCCAAACATTTGTGGCAACATGGAACAACTGGCACGATAAGTCAGTAGCTGCTCAGATAGACACGTGTGTTTGTGGTGGTGAAACTGGCTGCGATACTCACATAAAATAATTTCGATACGTCTTTAATACGGAAATCCCACTGATGAACGAAATACCCAATGTGAACCTGGCAAAGAATCACAGCCATGAAGCCTGCATAGAGACCATATGAAACAAGTGTCATGTCTGGATAAAGAGCGTTCATTAGCGAGTTTTACGCAACCATAGTTGACTTCCCGACTTACAGTCACTGATGTGCGCCCTCTTCGAAGACCGCCACAAGCCGTATGCTCGCGCGAAGACGAAGAGGGACCCAAGAGCAAAGCAGAACCCGTAGATGCCATTTGCCATGGCACTGCGGTTCGGCGGGTTGTCAAAGTTTGGAGTGACACCGCTCGGGGGTGTGAGAGCCGGCCCATTGAGCACGGCCTCTAACTCCTCTGCCGATAGTGAGCTGAAGTCAATTGACATGCTGTAAGGCCTCGTGAAACACTTTTACACTCAATGCAAGAAGCGAGGGCATGCGCCGATCAAGTCTCGGAGAGAGCAGAGGACGTCTTGGCCAACGAGAACTATTAGAGGCAGATCAGCTGAAAGGCATGAAGGAAAGGTATAGGCGGCTGAAGTAAACCATGAACCAAAAATACAAATATAGCATATGTCGTTAGGAAAAGGGAGTCGAGAGGAAGGGTGGTGGAACAAAATGATGAGCGAAGACGTTGCGCCGAGGGAGCCTGCCGCTTGAGGTAGCAACGAACCAGAGATTATTCGGAGGAATCAGCACCTAATTGACCATGCATAAGTGTCACTGAAGGATTCAGAACCTTGGCCTCGGGAACGGGACGTGGATTCAGGTTTGATCCTGTACGGTCAAGGCTAAGGTTGTATCACGCCCGGGTGCTCCCAACAACAGAAGCACACTTTCACGCCACGGAGACTGAAGTTCCACCGAGGGCGATGCTGGCATGGCGGAGCTCGTGTCTAGTTTTGAAATCGGATACCACGTCCACAACAAGAATATGGAGCACTGCTGAGTACCTACTGAAATATACCAGAATTACCTGGTAGGTAGTAACCGGTGCTGAGGCAGTCTCCTCAGTATCATCTAGACCTGAAGCCATTTCATACGTGTCTAAATTCTAGCAAAGAGATCGTGCCGAAAAGGTCAGCTATACACACTGAAGTCATTGTATTGAGATATCGGGATCTGACATCTTCCATTGCTGTTAAACTTTATACTCACTTTCTCTTACGTATACACTGAAGATGCAGGTCAAGTCGCTCAAGCGAGGGAAGGCATTCATTCCACCTGAAATACCAAGAACAAACTAGCTGATTGGCTACAGTAGTGAGCCGATCGGATTTACGAACAATTAATTACGCTTTGCGGCCCAAGCTCATGCCTCCGTCCATAATGACACTGGTTCCTGTTGTGAAGCTCGACCGCGAACCGCTCAAGTAGAGAACTGAGTCGGCGACCTCCTCCGGAGTTGCGAGCCGGTTCATCGGGACACCCGACAGCATACTCTCCTCCAATCCCGGAACAACATCCAGAGCTACTTGGATCATCGGCGTCTTGGTCCACGCTGGGCACAGACAGTTGACGCGGATCCCATCGGATACCAGGTCAATGGCGGCGGTCTTTGTAATTCCCAGGATGGCATGCTTTGATGTCGTGTACTGCACCATCCCGGGCACAGAGATGACAGCTGTAACTGAAGCCAGCAGAACGATGGATCCTCGGGTGGTGCCTCGCCCAGGCTTCGTTGCACTGGCTGGTTTGGCCTCCTGCGCCTTCATCGCGGCAGAGGCAGCGCTCGTTACCAGAAAGGCACCGTTGACGTTGACTTCCTGAACCTTTTTGAAATCGGCGAAGTTTGTCTCTGATATCGGACCAAAGGTATCAGCCGCCACCTTGAGAGAAACGGCGATCGATCAGCACTCGCAAAGCGATATGGGCTGGAGGAGGGGGGATGGAGACGGTGGGCACGACTCACACCAGCTGAATTGACAACATAATCTATGCGACCAAAGAGCTTCGAGGTATGTGCGATGGCTGCCTTGACGGCTTCCTCAGACGTGACATCGAGCTGGATTGCCTCGGCCTTGAAATTGGGATGAGTGGCGACGGCTCTAATCTCCTCAACTGTCGCCTGAGCCTTTTCGAGGTTGATATCGGTGACAACCACGCCGCTGGAACCGTCCCTTGCAAAGGCCTCAGCGCTCGCCTTGCCGATTCCGCTCCCTGTAATGACTCAGTACTTGATTTAATTCCGGGAACAAAGACTTGTTTACCTCCGCCGGTGATGAAGGAAAATCCAGGGACATCCATTGCGCGAAAATTGGTCGTTGATGTTTGTTTGCTGGAGTATGAACGAAGGACTGGACCAGTGAATGTAAGAGGAACAAACCAACCTGTCCCGACTGGGAATGAAAGTAGCAACAAAGGAGAAAGACGCAGAATGACGGAGACAGGGGCAGAAAGAGGTACCAACATGAATAAGCACTAACCCATGTTATGGCCACCAAACTGATATTAATTACTGCAGTTGGCCCACCTAAACTTCAGGCTGCTGCATTGTCACTGTTGCATGCGGCCTGGAATTACTCAAGGGACACCTGTTAGTCTTTGGCAACCAAAATTCCAAGACGAAGGACGACTAAGCATAGCTAGATGGGCCGAGCAAGCCTCCTACGACGAGACTTTCGTTCATGCACTGTGCGGCATTGACCCGCCATGCCGTGGGATTAGGAATTGTCCTATCAGTCTTCAAGTCTGTCAGGATTTCGTGGACAGATTTGATCCCGGTGCCATTGCGAGTTGGCAGCCTCTTACGTTGCAATGATGGATCTTTCAAGCCTGAGATAAAAAGGCTTGGAAGATGCTGGTCCTTGCTTGGCTTGGATGAACTAACAACGCTCTAGGACATAGTTGTTACGCAGAACCTGACACGTCTTTTTCAATTGTCAATAAGTCCTTTGAATCATGTCTCCAAGGCCATCAGATGACGAGCAGGGCTCCAAATCAGCCAGCAATGAGCTCGTTAGCCCTGCTCCCCATGATGAGAAGAGGATCGCGACACCGGCTGCTGAAGCCAATCCTGGCGGCTTGACCTACATCACCGGCTGGAGACTTCACTTAATCACGGCAGGGTAAGAAAGAACTAAGGGGACCAACCCAGCGTCTCTTTCATTCAACGGATTCCGCAACTAACAATTCCTAGCCTTTGCCTGGGTCTGTTTCTCGTCAACTTTGAGGTAACTGTTGTCAGTACCGCTCTGGTTTCTATCACGGATGACCTCCAAGACTATGCCCGCAGTAGCTGGATCATCACAGCATATCTCCTGACTTACACTGGTACGCATCTCCATAGTACTTTCCATCGCCGTCTTAGGAGTCTCTTCTTACTTGTGTCTTCGCAAAATAGGCTGCTTGGTCATTTGGGCCAGGCTTAGCGACATCATCGGCCGAAAATGGGCATGTGTGTCTTCATTCTTCATATTTGCTGCCTGGTCGGGTGCGTGTGGCGGAGCTCAAACCATGGTCCAACTGTAAGTCCACGTCATCTTTGCATTTCCTGTTTAGTTGAGATCAATAGAGAACTCTGACCGTATCAGTATCATATTCCGCGTTCTCCAAGGTGTTGGTGGTTCTGGCATGTACGGAATGACAACAATCATGCTCTACGAGCTCGTGCCACCGGCCAAGTTTCCACTGTACACAACCTTTGTTATGATCCTCTTCGCCATAGGATTCGCCCTGGGCCCAGTTCTGGGTGGATTAATCACCAACAGCGGGTCCTGGAGATGGGTATTTCTTCTCAAGTAAGCAATGAAACGCGGCGAATACCAACTTGGGCATCATGCTAATGTCGCCGCTCTTGGCAAGTGTGCCATCGGCCTTGCTCGTGGCGGTTCTACTCTGCTTCATTATTCCCAACCGCTTCCCTCACCACGGGCGTGCCACTCCGCCTCCCCGGGCCAGCGTCAAGACTTTCGACTTGGTTGGTTCCACGTCAACGTTGGCGGGCGTCACGCTGCTCATCACAGGGTTGGAGGAGGCGGCCGCGTCTCTCCGATGGAAGACAGCCCTCACGATCGGCCCGCTCTGTGCCTCTGGCGTAGCATGGGGGGTGTTTCTTGCAAGCCAGTGGTACATCAGCCGCCCGGGAAGGACCCGAGCACAGCCTGTTTTCCCCTGGCGCTTTTGCCAAGATCGAGTCATCATGGGCCTCTTTGTGTAAGCGTCCTGATCACTCTGCTCTACCAACAAACCCTATCTGCAATGGAACATCTGACCCTGGTAAAACTAGGAATACATTCATGACCGGAGCCGTCAGCGTGACATGCGTCGTGCTCATCCCATTCCGCTATCAGACAGCGGCGGGTCTCTCTCCCTTGCAAGCGGGCGCTCGCCTCATCCTCTTCTCCGGGGCATCGCCAATCGGGGCGATCGTTGCCGCTGCACTGTGCAAGAAGAGGAGGATGCCGCCCCTGTATGTCATGATGTTTGGAGAGATCCTTCAGATACTGGGTCTGGTCCTAGCCACGACCCTCTTGACGTCCTCCAACGACCGGGATGATCCTGCTCTATATGGCCTTCAGGTCTGTATTGGATTCGGCATGGGCTTCGTAATGGGTACGGCGACTCTATTGACCCCTGCGATTGCGGAGAGGAGAGACCTTGGTGAGTTCAGAGGATCCAGGAATGGCTCTTTACTCATTGGACTCATGCTGACCATCACACCCCCTCCCAGCGGTTGCTTCCGCTGCAGTAGTTCAGTTTAGGTTTCTTGGCGGTGCGGTCATCTTGTCGATTGCGACGGCAGTTGGGAACACATGGATTCGCAACTCACTGTCTGACGTCCTCAGTGCCGAGCAGCTGAAAGCCCTGTTCCGATCCACGCAATCCATCAACAGGTTGCCGGATGACTTGCACGATGAGGTTAGGGGCCATTTTGTGCACAGTTTTAACATTGAAATGCGCATTGTCTTGGGGGTGGCAGTGGCGGCATTTCTCAGTTCCCTAATGATGTGGAAAAAACCTCAGATTCGGGTGCCTTGAGTGCTCCGAGCCGTGATTCGGCTACCTGAGGTTATGCAAGAAGACTCCTGCCAGTCTGCCAACAGGACTTTGGTTGCCACGAAATGACCTATGTTGGACATATACAATAGACTAGGTACTGTTGATCACGCCTTATCATTGGGTTAATTGCCTCATGCCATTAACACAACGGAAGAACCTTTGTGATGTTACCACGCTACGACCGAAGTTCCGAACCCACCAACGAAGTGGCTGGTATAATTAAGGACCTGTCAAGGGCGGGTGATCGGCAGGGAGCGTTCATACCACCCTCGTCCCCTGTCCGGACATTGCCTTAATGATAATCTAAAGGTGGATTAGTATCGTCTGCCTTCCTATGAAAGAGAGCCAGGCCGCATGATGTTCTCATATAGCCGGACTGTATATGGATCGGCCCGAGGCTAATTCACAAGTTCCAATTCCTATCGAGTTGTCGCCGGCTACAAGTGATTCGCGTGCTCATGCATTTGATCCTCCAACCCCTTTAGCTTAGCTTTTGGCTCCATCTTCTAAGCACTGCTACCGCGCGGCTTAACCGTTGCAACATTTGTCGGGCGACAAGACCTGATTAGATTGTAGAAAGCGCCTTGCGTGGCCCGGAGAAGGCGATTCCGTAACAAAGGGGCCTGCTGGCTTTGCATGTGATTAGGATGTTGGCTCTGCAAAGGTTTATGATGATATAGTAACCCCTGGCGTGGATATTATGTTGGGCTTAGTAGTTATGTACTCTACATCTTTATTTCTTGAATTCTAGTAACCTTGCTACAACTAGCCTGTACAGCCAATTAGCAGCCGCTATCGCAATGTTCAGGGGTTAAGGGGAAGCACTTGTGTGGTGATGAAAATTGAGACGCGAAGCCTATGAGCCTTCAAGATGACACGTAATAAAATTTACCCCGTGGATTTGGGTTTGGGGTGTGTGGCCAAGTATTTGGAACTGCCGTGACTATAGCTCATTGAGGCATGAGATGCGCTCGGGCTTGAGGTTACTTCACTCCATTTCCTTGAATTAGTACAACGGTGCATGAATCTTTTGTTGGCTTGGTCAAGAGGGTCCGATTACCGCATGAAGGTATTTCGGTTTAGCAGCCTACGCGTGTCTGATTCGAGGAAAGTCGTCGGGGATTATCTGTCACTCTTGTCAGGTAACCCTGGCATTGATGCTGGAGGACGGAGATGCCACAGTCGCGGGGAGTTTTTTACTTCCAATCCCTACCAACACCCCATAGTAAGGCACGGGAACGCAGACTGGACTTGCCTCGGTATACCGGGACGTCTTGAAACATCATAAGAGAACTGCACTCGTTTGCCTGAAGCATCTAGCTGTAGCCACAGACCAGCAGCCCTTGCGTTTTTATTTTAGCATCCCTTGCAGACTCAAGTGCAATGGACCTTGGCGCTTGTTCCTCTTCATCCGTGGCAGCCGATGATCATAACGCGCTATCGCCCGAAAGCCTCTCCAAAGTGAATAGTCATGAATACACAACCCCAAGATCCTCTGAGGCCAGAGACGAAGATCCAGTATGTGTAGTAGGGATGGGTATGTTATCTGTCATCAAGAACAAGTATGTTGGCTTGAAATGCTGACATTACGTGATAGCTTGCCGACTGCCAGGAGGCATCAAGTCCCCTTCGGATCTCTGGAAGTTTCTCGTTGAGAAGAAATCAGCTCAGGGAAAGATCCCCGCCACCAGGTTCAATGCCTCAGGATATCATTCCCAATCCGGTGATCGTGCTGGTGTCATGAATGTCGATGGCGGATACTTTATCGACGAGGACCTCCGCGCATTTGATAATGCGTTCTTTGGCATCAACAATTTAGAGGCCACATACATGGACCCCCAGCAGCGAAAACTACTAGAGGTCGTTTTCGAGTGCTTCGAGAGTGCAGGCGTGTCCATGGATGATGTCTCAAATTCCAATACGGGCGTATACGTTGCCAGCTTTACGCATGACTACTTTTTAATGCAAATGCGCGATCCAGATTACTTACATCGGTACCATGGTACAGGATCTGGAACGACCTTGCTAGCCAATCGGATCAGTCATGTCTTCAATCTTCATGGCCCCAGGTAATTCTCATTATCCCCTCTCAGCTGATGACAAGGAGGCTAATATGAAGTTTGTAGCTTCACAATCGATACTGCTTGCTCATCATCCATTCATTGTTTACATGCCGCTGTATCGGCATTGAAGGCAGGCGAATGCGATGGTGCTGTTGTTGCCGGTATCAATCTTTTACTTACGCCCGAGCCCTTTGTGGCAGCGATGAAGACGGGTGTCCTGTCGTCTACTGCAACCTGTCAGACATTTGATCGTAATGCTGACGGGTACGGACGAGCAGAGGGCGTTGATGCCGTCTATCTCAAGCGTTTATCCGCGGCGATCAGAGACGGGGATGAGATACATGCTGTCATTCGTGGGACTGCTGTCAACTCGTAAGTCATAGTAGTCTAAATTCTTTCGAACAAAGACATACTAAGTGAGGACGTGTAGCAACGGACGCACACCCGGTGTCACTCTACCCAGCGCAGATTATCAGGAAGCGGTGATTCAGAAAGCATATAAGAGCGCCGGAATAAGCCCTTCGGACACTGATTATATCGAATGCCATGGAACAGGGACTGCTGTCGGTGATCCCATTGAAGTTGAGGCTCTCTCACGCTTCTTCTCCTCGCCAGATCGCCCCCTCCTAATGATTGGCTCGGTATGAGCTCATTCCCAATCTAACTCCCTATCAGTGCTACCAAGGACCCTCCAGACTAATCGAAATCAGGTCAAATCCAATCTCGGCCACAGTGAAGCCACAAGTGGTCTCACTTCTTTACTCAAAGTTGTTCTTGCTTTTCAACATGACAGAATCCCACCAATGATAGCCCCGAAGAGCCTAAACCCCAAACGTAAGCACATGAGGAGAGCGACTTCTGTGGTTAAGAGGTATCTTAAGTTCGCTAACCATTGACTTCAGTGAGACTTGATGACTACCGGATGAAAATTCTCACTGAAACTGAGAAGTGGCCCAGGGACATTCTTCGTAGAGCGAGTATTAACTCATTTGGATATGGGGGAGCTAATGCGCATGCAATAGTTGAGTCTCTTGACAGCTTTTTATGGCGTGCTGGCGCGTTTCAAGACGAAAAACTTGGTGAGGAAGGGGAGAATATCACGGTGACTCTCCCAGTATCGGCTGTATCTCAGGAGTCATTATCTTTGCGCACTAAACAGATCATGAGCCTGGCCCAGAAATCTGATGCTCAGACTCTCATGCGAATGGCCTTTACATTAGGCCTGCGTACACCTCACCTGGATAGAAGGAACTCGATCGTGGCAAGAGTAACCCCCCGCGAGCTACAGTCCGAATCTGAAATCGCGTCGGCATCTCAGGTTACCATTGGAGCCGGACAGCGGTCCCTACCCCTTGTCTTCGTTTTCACTGGTCAGGGTGCACAATATGCTAATATGGCGCGTGAGGTTCTTCAAGAGTCCCAATATTTCCGAGAGGAGATTCAGAGGATGGACCAAGTTCTGCAAGCGTTGCCGTCGCCGTACAAACCATCCTGGACACTGGTTGATATTATCAACCAGCCCCCCGAGACGGCCCAGGTTCATCAACCTACTTGCAGCCAAGCACTGTGCACTGCGATCCAGATTGCCATGGTACAGCTATTGAGAGCTTGGAATTTGCAACCTTCAGCAGTTATTGGGCACTCGTCGGGAGAAATTGCTGCCGCTTTTACTGCCGGCCTCCTGAGGTAAGGGCTTTCTTCCACCCAGAGTTTCTATACAAACTGAATTTACCTGTTTAGTGAGTCCGAGGCCATGCTTGTTGCTTACCTTCGAGGCTACGCTGTCGAGCAGGTGCAGACCGATGGCGGCATGATAGCCACAGCCTTGGACGCCGCAAGTGCCGAGACCCTTATCAAACAGCTCAGTCTCGCAGAGCAGCTTTGTGTGGCGTGTTATAACTCGCCTAATAATGTTACCATTAGCGGCTCAACGGAAGCCATTGACACTCTTTCTCGGGAGCTGGTGGCAACGAATACATTCCACCGCGTTCTGGAAACCGGAGGGAGGGCCTATCATTCATCGGCGGTGGCACAAGTTGGAAGACTCTACGAGAGGTTATTGTTGGATGTTGCGAACTTCAAAGACAGAGACCAGTGGACGGCGAATGTGCCTATGTACTCGACAGTTCATTCTACGAGTAGGGAAGTCGCATTCGTTGACTACTCAACAGACATGCCGAGCTATTGGCGAGCCAACTTGGAAAGCCCTGTTCAATTCAGTGCGGCTCTTGAGCATCTTTCATCTGCTCATGAATGTCACTTGGTGGAAATCGGCCCCCATCCTGCTCTGAAAGGCCCGATCCGTCAGGGAGTCTCGAGTCGGCATCTGCCGTACGCGCACTCCTTGACGCGCAACGAAAGTTCAAGTTTCTCTATAAAGAAGCTTGCGGGGACACTCTTCAAGTATGGCTACAAGTTAGACTGGTCCAGCGTCAATGATCTTCCATCCATCGCCCAAAGAACGACCGACGAAATCCCGCCATATCCATGGGACTACTCAAACGGGCTGCCGTGGTTTGAATCCCGGGAAGCCAGCGAAATCAGAAATCGCCAATATCCTCGCCATGAGCTTCTAGGCTCGCTCCGGGCCGCTGGAAACGGGATCGACTATTGTTGGAGAAACACACTCCGCCTGAATGAAGTTCCTTGGGTGGCGGACCACAAGGTTGAAGACCAGATTGTCTTTCCTGCGGCAGGCTATCTGGCAATTGCAATTGAAGCGCTGTCACAGATCCTGGGGGATAGTCTGCCACTGACTCCTGATTTCGAGTTTCAGAATGTGTCTTTCAATGCAGCTCTTCTTGTGAAGGATGAGGGGAGCGGTGCAGACTCTGAGATGCATACCATCATGGCACCACGACGGCTATCTGCGAAGCAACTGTCCTCTACCTACTATGACTTTTCCATTAGTTCTTGGAAATCTCATCACGTCCTTACTCACTGCTCTGGTGGCATTAGACTGTCATCGGCTACATCCAACGAAGGTTCTGTCAATATTCGAGACACTGCAGGCTACAGGATGTGGCCCATGAAGCGATGGTATGAGAAGGCCAGCGAGGAGGGCCTCGTATTTGGACCTCACATGCAATCCGTCGTCGGCTTGCAGACGGATCGCAGTCGCCTCAGTTCCGATAGCATCTGCCACACACAGATAAAGCCTTTAGCGCTGGCGGCATCAAGCACGTCCTACCAAATCCACCCCATCACGATCGATGCCTGCCTGCAAGCCGCCATTTTGAGTGCTGCTACGGGTACCCCAAGCAATCTGCGTCCTTATCTTCCAGTATTCCTTCCTAAATGCGTCATGCGGACATCGACTTTTGCTGGGCCCAGCTCAGAAGCGTATATCCATGTCCGATCTCACAAAACTGGCATCTCCAATCTCAAAGCAGACTGCACGCTTCGAGATGCTCAAGGAAAACCGATGGCTGACTTTAATGGAATCAGATTATCCCTTTACGATGGAAAGCTGGTCAAGACTAGTTCCAATGACTTGCACTTGCAGCGTCATCCAGTCATGCGCGTCTTTTGGAAACCAGACGCTGCTCACCTGCATACAGGCACTCGAGCGCAGCTCGATGATTATATTGCTAGGTTCTCGGATGCCCATGGCCAAGAGTTTCAGTCTCAAAGATCAGCCTCCATTGCAGCATTACTTGATCTTCTGGGTCATAAGAATCCCCGCATCCGAGTCTTGGAAATCCAGGATGAAGCTGTATCCGAAACTCAGAACCCATATCTCCAGCTCTTAGATGATGGGACAGCATATCCTCGTTACAGTTCATGGTCCAAGACTGTGATGGAGGAATCTAACCGACTACCAATACTAGGAGATGAGGTCTTTGATGTTCTCGTTGACACAGTAAGTGATGATACTCTATTCTCGTCCCTGTGCACGTGGCCACAACTAATGGGCCAATGCAGCGTTTCAATCCTCAACTCCCATGGGATCAGCTCGAAGCTAGTCTCAGTCTAAATGGAAGTATTATCATACGCAAGTCAGAGGAAGCTTCTGTGATTTTGGAAGCCAAAGGATTCACCACGATTCCGGTCCGAGGGGACGTGATTCTTGCGACCCGTGCGTTGCCACAATCAAGTTTAGAGAAAACAGAGGCAGTAATTTTGGTAACTCACATATCCTATTTTGCTTCCCACGTAAATCAGGATCACTAACATTGGACTTCAGACTCGTAAACCTTCCTTGGCCGCACAAAAGCTCGCAGACTCATTGGAGACCCACCTCCGTAACAATGGTGCCCAAGCAGTGTCTGTCGTCGAATTCGAGAGTCTCTCAAACAGCTCAACAATTACTCGGGAAACACTAGTTATTTCTTTTCTTGAATTGGAGAACGAACTTCTTGGTAGCCTGACAGAGGAACACATGAACCTCCTCCGCACCTTGACAGATACTGTCAAAAATCTCCTTTGGGTCACAGGTGCCAACATGCTATCAGAACCAAATCCGGACTTGGCAATGGCTCCCGGCTTGTCTCGTTCGATCATGATGGAGCAACCGTCGCTAAACTTCAACATTCTAGATATAGGTCCAGTCGAGGGTATGGGACAGGCTTCGATAGAAACCACTTGTGACAATGTGGTGCGAATCATGGTCGGGCCCCGGGCTATTGATGACAAAGAGTTCATCCAAGTCAACCGTCTCCTATACATCAGCCGTCTAGGGTCTGACTTTTCGACCAACGCCTTGTTCCGCCGTCGGTTGGGGATGGAGCAAGGGTTCCAAGAGACAACTCTCGAAAATGCCGGCATTGCTCGTCTAGAGGTTGGGCAGGCCGGTATCACTGATTCACTATACTTCCAACAGCATCCAGCCGAGCTTTCAGAGTCACCCCCCAAGGGGTACATCGACGTCAAGACCCAGGCAGTCAGCCTCAACGCAAAAGATATTTATGCTATTAGTGGCCGGGTAGAAACTAGAAACGCCACCAAGTCTCTCGAATATGTTGGCATCGTTACGGCAATTGGTCCCGAAGTTGAACAAGAGATCGAAGTCGGCTGTCGTGTGTTGGTATGTGTGCCCAACGATTGGTCGACCATCGCCCGTGTGCCAGCTTGGCAGGCTCACAGGCTTCTTCCTGAAGAGGATGCAAAAGTCATGGCCACCTTGCCCGTGGCATGGGGAGCGGCTCTGTATGCCGTCCGTGAACGAGCCTACTTGCGCGCTGGGGAAACCATCCTGGTGCATTCTGGTGCTGGCGCTTTTGGATCTGCGGTAATCAGATTGGCGCAGCAGATTGGCGCAGATGTCTACACCACCGTCGGGGCCAGCAAAAGACGAGAGTTTCTAATCAGGGAAATGGGTATGGTGATCGATCAGACCCTGAGCAGCATCATGCATCATTGCTAACCTCCTTGCTTAGGTATTCCCGAGGATCACATATTCTCTTCACGAGATGAATCGTTCGAGGAAGACATCATGAAAGCAACAAATGGACGTGGTGTTGACGTTGTCATCAACTCTCTTGTTGGTGATCTAATGCACGCAAGCTGGCGTTGTGTCGGCGATTTTGGCCGTTTTGTCGAGGTAGGGAAGAAAGAGCTTCTTGACGCGGGCAAACTTGACATGTCGGTTTTCGCTCGCGGCGTAACTTTCACGGCTTTTGATACTACGGAGATGCTGTTTCATCATGATGATTACTACAGGAAAACATACATCAGGTTTGTTGGTCCCTGACTCACTTTCCACGTTGGCTGTTGCTAACGGACTCACCAAGTTTGATCAAGGATATTCTCTCCATGTACCGGTCAGGAAAGATCAAACCTGTTCCCATCACGGAATTTGATGTTGGTGAGATTTCGCAGGCATACCGTTTCTTCTCCTCCAAGGACAGAGTAGGCAAAGTCGTCATCTCACTTGAAAACCCCAACAGCATTATCAAGGTAAGGTGTCTCTTTTCTCTCTCCTGATATCATATGACAAGAGGCCGGTCTCGATCTAACGGATGGGTTTTCGACTTAGATTATGCCTCCCAAATACACATCAAAATTTGCGTCACACAAATCATACCTGCTCGTTGGTGCGCTGGGCGGTCTGGGCCGAAGTCTAAGCAGCTGGATGAGATCCCAGGGTGCCCGCAATTTCGTCTTCATGGCGAGATCTGGCGCTTCCAAAAAGGAGGCCAAGGATCAAGTCGACTATCTAAGACGCTCTGGAGCACGTGTCCAAGTTGTCCAAGGCGACGTCTCAAGCAGTTCGGATGTCGAAAAGGCTGTCGCTGAGTCCAAAGCACTGGGTCCGATAGGAGGCGTCGTCCATGCCGCCATGGGTCTTCACGAGGATCTATTTGGTCGCATGAGCAATGAGGGCTGGCACACCAGTGTCCAATCTAAATGGCAAGGTGCGTGGAACCTCCACAATGCCCTTCAGAGCCAGGCTGCGTCCCCTGATTTCTTCCTCCTCGCCTCTTCCATGACTGGGACGGTCGGAGTTGCCACGGAGACCAATTACTGCGCTGCAAATGCGTTCTTGGATGCCTTTTCGTATTGGCGTCGTCGACAGGGTCTCCCTACCGTGTCCATCGGTCTTGGGATGGTATCAGAAGTCGGATATTTGCACGAAAATCCTCAAATAGAAGCCTTGCTTTTGAGACGAGGCATCCAGCCTCTGAACGAAGACGAGTTCCTCCAGGTTGTTGATCTTGGAATTGGCGATGCTGGCAGAGATATAGGAAACTCCACTGTGACCAACTCCCACATGCTCACCGGTATGGAGACATTGGGTGTTCGTAAGCTGCTCGACAAGGGCTTCGAGGTGACTCACACCGTGATGGACGATGAGCGGTCGTCGATTTTGTCTGCAGCCTTGGATTTTGATCGAACTAGAAACACGGGCGACCCAAACAACGTCTCTAGCGGTGCAAGTCTTGGCTGGATGAAGGGCCTTCCCGAGGTTGCAACCAAGTCTCTCATGAAGGAAACGAGTGCTTCATCGCTCAAGGAGGCGCTTAGCCTTGTGATTGGAAGGAAGTTCTCCAACTTGATTCTCATGCCCTTTGAAAAGATCGACTATGCACGGTCATTTGCGCAGCTTGGAGTCGACAGTATGATCGCGTCTGAATTCCGTGCCTGGTTTTGGAACGGTTTCGCTGTTGACATTCCATTCTTGGACTTTTTGAGCCCAGACAAGAACTTGGAGGCTGTAGTATCGTTTGCGGAGGCCACATTAGCAAAGGAGTCGAAGGGAAAGTTTGGAGAGTAGCGGTATATAGTCCTACAGGATTCGGGGTAGGAAGCAACACCTGGAATACTCGCATCTTGGTTCTCGAAAGACAGAACTTCCTTCTACAGTTAGCATAGGTAGATGTTTTAAATCCCAAGGCCTACGACTATTCAACCGTTCAAGTATGAATCCGTGCATCTGATGAAGGTCAATGCGGGATTCAGACCTGTTCCGGAAAAGTAAAAAAGTCCGAAAATATTAATTCCGGCTGACTGCTAGATAACTCCGTACACATCCCTGGTTGAATTCAAGAAATACGCTGAAGAATATATATACGGCTTTCGGCTTTCATCAACTGAAATGCCGTGGGTTAGGGATTCGGACGACATCACAGGAAGCCTCACGGAGATAGCTAAACTCAGTTGCGTCGTAACACCCTCAGCTGGACATAGGTAGGTATAAGTACGATTCTTTCACCGATGGTAAAGGAGTAGAAGAAATAGGTAGATTCAATGAACAAATCGAACAGTTACTGAACATTCTACCAATCTAAAATATTCAACATGGTCTTCCCCAACCACGTCCTTCTCGGCGCTGCGGCCATCATCCCCGCCGCAGATCCTGTCATGGTTTCGTCCATCAGTCCTGTTGTTCTACCGTATCCCGAGCGTGTGGTTGACATGGAACTCCGGGTAACTGCACCTCTAGACGGTGACGACCTTCCAGTTGTCATCCTATCCCATGGCCAGGGCAACAGCAACTGGCTCTCTTCCATCGCTGGCTATGAGCCCCTCTACAACTACTGGGCTGGTCAAGGCTTTGTGGTGATCCAGCCAACACACCTGGGTTCGGCTACATACGGCCTCCAAGCGCCTACAGGCCAGGAGTACTTTTGGGAGGCGCGCTGCCAAGACATTACATGGATTCTTGATCATATAGATGAGATTCAAGAGGCCGTACCTTCCGTCAAGGGACGACTGGACACGGACAACATTGCGATAGCCGGGCACTCGATGGGCGGTTGGACGGCCTCCATGATCCTCGGGGCCCAGAACACCAGCCCGCTGGGTAACGGCACTATTTCCAAGTACCGCGATGCACGTATCAAGGCTGGCGTCGTCCTTGCCGGGACAGGCAATGGGGGCGAAGATTTGTCGGACCAAGGACGCCAGATGGTACCAAGCTATAACCCCAACTTTTCAACAATGGAGACTCCTGCTCTCGTGGTATACGGAGACAGCGACTTGTCTCCTTACTTGACTGTGAGAGGCGCTGACTGGCATGGGGATGCATACTATCTTTCCCCGGGCCCCAAAGACCTCTTTATTGTTCGAGGCGGAAAGCACGGTCTCGGCGGTGTGAGTGGCTGGGATGCTCTAGAGACTGAGGATGAAAGCCCACAGCGGTTGGCCTCGGTGCAACGTGCAACCTCGGCATATCTCAGGACTGCGCTCTATGGAGACGACTCTTGGCAGAAGGCTCGTGCTGCGCTTCAAGGTAATTCGACCTTGGGCACCGTGGAACAGAAGTACTAACCGTAGTTCTTGGGAACACCTTGGCTAATGGGTGAGGATCGAATCGGATGATGCCAGTTTCCCTGGGCTGCTCGTGGATCTTGGCCCAATTACTTGAACAAGAAGTGTGAATAACTTGGAGGAGATATAAGGCCCTACGGCAAAACACAGGCATTCAGCCTCAAGCTCTCTAGTAATCTCCATTGTTCGTGTTCGGGATCGAAATACCTTGCGATAGGGTCATGTGATTGGATGCACATATAAACTGCAGTAGAAAATTGATCAAAGTGCCCTCAAAGATGAAGCTGTGTGTATAAAATGGGTATTAGGATGATATTAATTACTATGATCGATACAGGCCTAGAAAACCGACAAGCGACCGACAATTCTGATTATTCAATCTTACCAAAATTGTGCAACTCAGATTCTTGCCCCTGTGCCCTGCAAAACCGTCGCATCTCGTCCCCCAGATCTCTCCCAAGATTGGGGACTCAATGCAGCCTCGCATCAGAGAAAATAGGAGTAAATCACCACACCGTCGGGAAGTGTCGTGGCACCAATGCGGGTTGGCGAGATGTCCAATAGAACCCAGACTGGTGCCATGGCCCCCATGATTTGATGCCGAATTTGATGCTTACGCCTGGATTGCCGGCCCCTGAAAGTAAGTCCCCGCCCCCAGGTCGTTTCCGAGTGACCGTTGCGATGCCTGCCTTGGCGTCGATCAAAACCTTGTCCTTGGACTTTTGCTCACAGGGTCAAGGGGGAGGCAGATTCCTGTTCTCCTCCTCGGATTTCCTCGATTGTTCGTGGATGGTGCGCCCAACGAACGAGACATGCAGTGGCGGATCGGCAGAGATCACCGGGGGCACTGCCAATCCGCCCAAAGGCTAATGTGAGGGAGCTGACGCCCGGCGGTGCTGTCACATTGTAATTGGGATCAGCTTAGTCTCAGCGGAGGCTTGGCTGAGTCAACTGAGGCTTGTCGCGGTGTTGGTACGCAATCCATGTCGTTTGATTTCCGCGAGTGCCGGTGACAGAGACTTTTGCTGTGCGAATGATCTCGAAGCCCGATCATTCTCGGTGAATGTGGCGGTCAGGGGGAGAGGAGATAGAGCGTACTCGATCAAGGCCATGGCGAAGAATATTGTGTGTTCCCCTCGGTCGCCCATCAGCCGACCATCTCCCCGACGGCTGGCTGCTGCGCCCTGCTCATATCAGCCGAGTAGGTCCTCGTGAAACCAGAGATGGCGCCGTCGTGTAGCGATGCGCCGCTGGCAGAGTGCGAGTGCCCGCGACGGCCCCCAGCAGCCAGCTCAGCTCTGGCCTTCTCCTCTTCGTCTGTGATCTCGATGGGCGGCATGGCCCCGTAGTACTCGCTCCCCGAGAGGTCGGGCGTAGAATACGCAAGGGGGTTGCCTCCTCCCGGCGCTCCATAGGAGAGCTCGCTCCATTGCGATGGCGACGGCTGCGGCAGCGACGCGAGGTGCGAGTGCTGCAGCGAGTCGTACTTGTATGTGCGGTCCAGCTGGGACGGCGTGTGTGATTTCGTGTTGGTGGTGTGGTAGGACTCGACAGAGAGGGAGTTGTGGTTTATTGTGCTGGCACTCTTGGTCGACTGGGCAGCTCGGTTGGCTCCCGCAAACGGCTCGTAAGATGTGGAGGGCAGACCGCTGGCCCTGATGCCATTCTGGTATCGTTTCCTCCAGAACCACCAGACGAGGCCGCAGATGAGTCCTCCGCCGACGAGGGTCGCTGCCACGGCGATGCCCGCGACTGCGACGTTGCTCAGGCCGCCCTCGTCCGCGCGTGTTTGCAGGCGAGACTGTGCCATGCTCGTGTCGTCGCTCACCTCGACCAGATTCTCCTCGGGACAGTAGCCGTTGGCAGTGTTGCAGGGATCGATGGCGCAGCAGCCGACGAAGCGAGTCGGTTTGTTGGTGCAAACGTAGAAGCTCTGGCCGGGGCACGCACCGCCCAAGTTCGGTATCACGGTCATTGATTAGGCAGCAATAGAGGTCGATTCGATGGGTCGGGCAGGCTATAACGAGGGTTCGCCTTGTCGGCTAGATGTTGTTTTTAATTCGTATCGTCGGTTTCGGCTCGCTCGCAGAGGTTTCTCGTGGGGATGGTCACTGCTCGACACCAGGAGTGGGCACTTGGATGCTTAAATGGACCCGGCGATGCGGAAAAATTAAATCAATCTAAGCCAAGGGAAGGGAAGGGCTTGGCCTGACGGACGGATGCACCACATGATTTGATACGAACAATTTTCACCCGAGTGTACACCTGGACTGCGCCCCTCCTCTCGCTGCTCCGTCTCCGGATCCAGGAACACAGGTACAAGGACGCGCCAGCCGCCCCCAATACGACTTTTTAGCACCATCTTGGGAATGGCCGTAATATTATGAGCTTTACGATATGAGATGGGCGGGGCTGACACATGGTCCGGCCCAAGCTTTCACTCGGGGCAACCAAGGGAGGTTCACGGGGCCTGGATGCTTTGTCCAAATTCTGACGGGCTTGGCCTAAGGACAAAGCTAGAGACACAAAAGGCCTTTCGGGGGCAATCATTATGTATGACGGGAATTGTTGAGGGCAGCGCGTGTCTGCAGAGCCCTTGTTTACGCCCCTGCATCACCAAATTCCAAGGTCAGGGCACCGGTATCCGATCCATGTCTCACCCATTTAGCTCCCCGGCGCATGAAAGACGCCAGCATAGCAGTCCAGGCTAGAGTCTAGAGCCTCCAAACCGTCCAAACGACGGCTCTGTGCGCCGGTCCGGCAGAGCGTAGCCAAGCGGTGTGCTGGAGCGAGGACAGTCCTCACACAAGACACAAGACGGCGACATTACCCCTGTTTCCCAGCCCCTGTCGGCATTGTCTCAAATCTTGCAAGTGCATCTTAGCGGCTCACCAGGCGGCACGATTGTGATCAAGTCCTTTCCTCCTCCTATCCCGTTGTGGTTCCATTTGTCACGGCCTCTGCCAATGAATCTCCTCATCTGCTCGCACTTTTCTCTCCTCCAGGGTGTCAGCCAGGGGTTCACACCACACGGGCTCTGAGAATCCTGTCCACCATCCGCGCTTGGGAAACCGCACCTGCGGAACTTATGGTTGTTGGCGCGCTCATAAGCGCGCCTCTCCGGTAGACTACCATCAGGATGCATGCATAGCGGGCTGGGCACTCCTGAAGAGCCCCCAACGCTCCCTTACCGTCTCTCGCTCACGATAAGAATGACCGGGTTGGGCTACAGGGCGGCAAAGCAGCGCAGGAGAGTCATCGACCAGCTTCCGCGGGCGCCTATACGGTCTAGAATGCCCTGGAAATGATGGTGTGCGCCTGGAAGGATTCGTCGCAAATGCACCTACAGCCACTACTGACGCGTAGCGCACAGCTTATTCCATGCAGGCTGGTCTGATCCCTCCCAAGAGGCCAGCCGCGAGAAGTGAGAAGCTCTGTACCGTAGCCGATCTGCCAACGCCTTGGTCATAATTACATGTGCGCTCTGGCCATGTGACATCGCCTACCCGAAGGAGAACTACCTTGCGAGCGAACCATCCACACGTGCTTTGATTCCGGGATTGATATTGGGAAGAGTTCCCCTTTTTCCTTGCATCGGGTTGACCTCTGAATCCCAGCGCGTAGCACGTAGCATCCGCCTGAATTCGACCATCAGCGGATCCTTACGTGGCCAGCTGAGCTTCGTGCAAAAGCCCGCCTCTGCTGAGATTGCCTGTCGAATTCTGATGGAACCAGGAACTAAGATCACAAGCCAGAACAAGGTTGTAGCCGGTAGGGCTGACAAGAAGGAGAATCCTTTGTCCATCTACCAAAACAGCAGGTCGAATGGATCGATCACTGAGCTTTGTCAAGATCGGTTTCATCGGATAAGAACCCCCGCTCACCCTCCAGGATCCGATTGAAAAGCATTCATGGCGACTACCCTGCACCAGGCCAAGCTCTTGACAGATAGCGTATTCATTCCCAAACTAATGAGGGCTTGTAAATACATGTGCTAATCGTTCCAATTTTCATCAAGTAGGGGCGTTCACATGTCGCTGCACCTTGAAATCAATGGTTTGTTGGTTGTGATGCATTTTCTGCGCCCTTATTGGCCGGCTACCCTAGACCGCAAAACGTGAACACAATATAGCTGATCTTACAATGACATCTTTATTTATTTTACCAATTTTTGAATTTCTTCCCATGGGAACCAAGAATGTTTTCAAAATTAATTCACTTATATGTCGATATCGATTTGTCGTGATGAGCTGAAAAGTAGCTTATACTGAAATACCACAAATGAACGCGAGTAGTGCTAGACTTGTGAGCGTTACTTATGTTTCTCAAAATACATAGAATCTGAACATCGCAATAGTTTCTCGATAATTACTAGTAGCTTTCCATATTCAATCTTAGCCAAATCAGTATAGTTTCCTAGTGCATGAGTCCTGTCGAATACATAAGCTATTCTCGGCGACAGCCAGGGTGTTTAATATCTTCTTAGTCTCGGAGGCCATACCAATCCCAACTCCTTCGATAGGTTCAAGCCAGCTTTGATACTAAGTAACAGTTTATTCACGCTACCGACCAGCAAAATCAAGTTAGATCCCAACAATTTTGCGGGGAGAATGGAGAAATAAAGGGAGCATTGCCGAACAGGGGTGGTACCATTCGTTGAACCGCTTCCATGACCATCCAACATCTCAAATCCACACAAGCAAGCAAACAGGCGCCTGGAAACACCAATGAACTCGAATTGAGAATGAGATATGACCTCCCACCAGGGTTGCATGTTTCAATCGGTTATGAGTCAGGCCGTCATATGTTGCGGCTTTTTCGATATAAACTCCGTCTAACTCCGGGCGTGGACTCAGAAGGTTGTTAATCAAGATTTGTCTCTTTCTTCCCGCCATGGAAAAAGAAATCATCAAGGCTTCCCGGTCTCTTGGATTTGAACGCATCTAGTCCTCCTATCAAGTAGTATCATCGCCTACAATAGGCTAGCCTACAATCCCACA